ACTTCAAGCCCAAGTTTTAATAATTGGGCATAGATAATATTGATAAAAATTTGATACATAGGCCGAGTCTGCAAACAGTGAAATTCGGCTTTTCAAAAACTAAAATTTAAAAAATTTTGGTTTTTACAAAACCAAAAATTAAAAAAAAAATTGTTTATTCAAAAACTGAAAATGGGTAGTTTTGTCTTTTTTAAAATAAAAAAAATGTTATAAAGTTGAAAAACCGGACATGTGGGTAATAACTTAAAGTTTCAGGTAGTTTCATAATAACGAATAATATAATAGATATTTTTGTAATTTTTCCTTTATTTTATAGGAATTTTAAAAGGTGGTTAGACTTGTGTATTTATTATTTTATAATTATTAGGGTTTAAATTGAGGGATTTATAATATGAGGGGCAAAAGGGAAGTTTGATGCAACGTGTTGGGTATGATGGAGACTTACGAGAGGGAACAAATATAGCGAGAGAAACATGGGGGGTAGAGAGTTTTTCTTTTAGGTCTTTTATTACTTAAAAGAGATTTCGTAAGAAAATAGACTTAGTATTTTTTCTAAGAGTTTTATTTTTTTTTCCTGAGAAAGAAAGAAGAGAGTGCTTCTTCTCATCCTTGATTTGATTTACAGTCTTACGTTTCCTCTATTGTTGTTGAGTTCTTGTTTATTCTGATATCAAAAGGTCGAATTTAATTTCTTGGACTCCTTTCGTATCATTTGGTATCAGAGTTGGTTGAAGACGATTACTGACTACAATGGCCAATTCCGAAGGTCGCCACCATAGCCATGCCGATATGGATCAAGTATATGAAAAAATCGACAACTTGATGGAATGGTTAAAATGTTGTGGCAAAAGAAAGATTGCAAAACGACACATCGAAAAAAGATGAGATCTATGGTATTAGATCTATATTGTGTGAGTTTTTGTAGAGATCAATATCAATCAGAGCATGTGTTTGAGTGGGTACGGCTTGATGTTATGCTTAATCACACTTATAGGTGCGATGTACGACGGCATTGACGGAAGCATGAATGCAAATAATAGTTGGGTAACCGACTACCCCAAAACCGATGTGATTGGCGTAGGAGTACCAAAATAAATATAGACATAAGCAAATAAGGAGTTTACTTGGAGAACCGAAGTAAGTTTAGATATGAGCAAAGAAGGATTTTACTACATACAGATCCACCCTTAGAGAAGGATCATCTCAAGCTAGAAGACCGACACCTCCAACCTGAGGAGTTGTCGTTCCTACAAAAATTGTGGCATGAGCAACACACAGCTATATAGACAAAGGTAGGTGATTCTTGATAAGAAAAAAAATCCTAAGTTTGTCACTATAAAGGTTGATGCATTGAAAGATACGAAAAACCCTAAATCTAATAAGAAAGAAATAGACATATTTATTGATCAACCTACTAAAAAAAGGAGACATAATTGGAGATATATGTGATATTTTTACTGATCGAAAGATATATAATTCTAAAACTAATATTGAATAAATTCAGCATTGTATCAAACAAATGGAAAATTTAACTTTTTGAGTTTATTTTTGTTGAAGACAATATTGAATTTACAAGTATTCATTCTTGGTGAACAAGGAAGAACAACCAACAATCAGATTGGACGATAAAATAGAGGTAGTTGTTTCTGATTAAAAGCAAAGTAATACTGGTCAAACATCAACTATCTTTGTTGCCATTGAGTGAGGAGACTCCACTTGAATCTTTCAATGAGGAGGTGTGGCTCAATTCTCCATCCGAGTGCTTATAAAGAAAAAGTTGTTGACATTCAAAATGTAGATGATGATGTTAATGTTGGTGCAGATGGTAATAATTGTGTATGCGCAATGGATTTGTCTAATAGAGGTGATGAGAATGATGGTATGAGTATGGAGAGTTGTGGTTGGTTGTCTGTTTCAAAAAAAGCCTAATCATGACATGTGAAATGGTTATGATGAATTTGAATGGTTTGGTTATTTATTGGAATCATCCCATAATTAATATAGCAACTTTGAAGTGTGGATCCAGCAACATCATAGTGTGTGGAACTAAGGGTTACTAAAATATGCTAAGACAATAATTTGTTGGATGAATGTATTGATGATTGGCACTATTGTCTCCTCGTTAAAGGAAGGCAATCCATTTACATTAGCAATACTTGAAATCAACCTGCCTTCCTCACCCGACCTTTAGTTGTCGACACGTTCCTTTCTTCTTTGCAATAAAGACGTTCACTCAAATCGATGTTGAAGTTGTATTTTCCTGCCTATTGGGAATGGCTTAATTTGGTCATTGGTGTCCCTCATTCCAATCCATATGCTTGCAGTTTTAGTGCTGGATGACAATCAATTTTGTTCAACCCTATGTTGCAGCATTACTAGCTAGGCTCGATTAATGCTCTCTACAGGAGGGTACACATGCGAGAGAAGAAACAAATCTCTGGATAAAATTGAGGAGGCCCTGTATTATGAGAATACCCTTGTTGATTTTTTTGAGAATACCCTTGTTGATTTTTTTTACAAGAATACGTAGTTGCTCTACTTGATGACTTTGTTTTTATTCATGCAGGTGACCATTGTTCTTGGTGCTGGTTTGAAACCATAGTACTTCTTTGGGAAGGTTGCCTAACGGTCATTGCTATTAGCCAAATTTGTTTTAGAGTAGGTCCCTTTAGTGCAAACAACGTTACAAGCCTTTCATGGTCTGTTAAGGCTCTTCTTGTTTCTCTCGAAAGTCTTAGAGAAGTTGAAGTTTTTCGTTTGGCTAAAGCTTCAACAAAAATGTGCAAAACCGGGTTTGATTCCAATAAGCAAACACTTGCAGTTCTAATTACCTCAATGGGCTTATTTATGGGAAGCAATTTATGCAGGGATGCTAAAGTTGGAACATGATTTTGGCCTAATTTCGGTGACTTCCCTTCTTATTGTGCATTCTAACGGTGATATAAAAAGTAATGACTTAATGGGTTTTAAGAGAACTGGCCACAGAGGTTCAATTACATGTAAGCAAGTGGTATCATATTTAGAGCAAAAGGACCTTATGAAAGTGGTGCTCTTCTACGGTGGATTGGGGTTTCACTTGGGAGAATACTACCCTAATGCAAAGTAAAACTCCTTCGCCACGAAGTGATGCTTTTTGTTTAGCGAGTCATTCGACTTCGAACTCTCAGTTAGCAATGTTCTACCCACAGTATATGCCAAATGGATGACCAATGAAGGTGCATCCCAATTGTTCAGCCTCATGCCCTACAAAGAACAATTGTGTGGAGATGTAGGGCTTCACCATCAACTAAAGGAAGATAATGATGCAATAGCAAAAACTCGATGGCGAGTTCTTTTCCAACCTGTGAAGTATGATGCAAACCACGTCCAGGACATAAGGAATAAGGCTAAATTGAATTTTATTTCATTTTATTTGTTATACTTTATTTTATAGGAATTTTAAGGGTGTGGTTGGACTTGTTTATTTATTTTTTAAATGATTGTTAAGGTTAAAATTGAGGAATTTATAATGTGAGGGCAAAAGAGAAATTTGATGTAATGTGTTGGATAAGATGGAGGTCAACATGGCTCTTTACCTTTAGGTGGCTAGGAGTTTATTTATGGTAAAAAGAGATATACTCCTTTTTCTAAAATTATTATCTCAAATAACCGCCTAGCCCAATAGAAAGCCCATGAAACCCACCAAGTTAAATCAAAAAGGACGTTTTAACCCACCTCCTTATCTTTTTTATCATCCAAGTTACAGAATTACTATTCTTCTTCTTTCTAATAACCACACAAGTTTAAGATGCCTCTTTTGATTTATTCGTGAGGTTCACAAGATGAGAGAGAGATAAGTATTCAAAGAAGGTTGCTAGAGACAGAGGGAGAAAGAAGTTCACAGGTAAGAAGAAAGAGAACTAGGAGAACTTTGCTGAGATTTAAAAAACATGGTGATTAAGAAACAAAAAGAAAGGTAAATTCTGTAATTTAGATAATAGAAAAAGCTAAGGAGATGATTAAAGGCTTGATTCATTTAACTTGAGGGTTCCATAAGGTATTTATAGGATCAAGGGCTTATTTGAGATTATAGTTTTAGAGAAGGGGATTTATATCTTTTTCCCTTCATGTATTTGGTTTTAGTTTTTTAGTTGTTAAGAAAGAGGAATCCCATGCTTTAGATGACCATCTATTAGTGATAAGTCTCTTTTTTTTAGGTAGTTATTGGTGATAAGCCTTAATGGAAGGGGATTGATGAGGTTAACGTGAGTTGAAGGACGATTCCGTTTGGGTTTTTTTTGCTTAAGAGGATCTTACTTTGAAAGGAAAATTGATTTCGTATTTTTTGGAAAGAGCTTTTTTCCTGAGAAATGAAGAAGAGTGTTTTTTCTCGCCCTTTGCTTGATTTACAACCGCCCGCATTTTAAAATCAAAATAATATGGTTTAATTTCCTAAACTCCTTTCACATCAACGGCCCAGCCTTTTTTTTTTTTTCATGTCTTTGGCCGGGCCTGACCCTAACACGGACAAGGCGAGAGCCAAGGCTGGCCTAGCCCAAACCCAGCCCATTGGCAAAGGGCTTTGCAACTAATCAATACATTTTGTTTTACGTACCCAATACCGTGCCTGTCTCATAAATACTTGGCAGTTAAAAAGGTCACAAAAGGTCGTTAAGCACGTTTTGCATCGTTTTGTATCAAGCGCAACTAACCAGGGTTATATACTTGGGAACCATGTAATGGGCCAGGCAGCCCAGCCCTAAAACGCTTAGGTGCAAAGTGTGGCCCGAGGATAAGGCCAGGACCACAGCAGAGTCGGCACAGCCCCACTCCATTTTTATTTTTTTTTTATTAATTTTATTTGGCCGAGCCCAGCACAGCCCTAACAGGTCTAAGGCCAGGCTTGTACCAGCCCTATGGGAACAAGGGCTGGGCTAGGGCCAAGGCTGACCCAGCCTGTTGCCAGCCCTGTGTACTTAGAAGAAACTAATAACGAGGTCCAGAAAATCATTCACCTTGAATATGAAATTGGAATTCTTTCCTGGGCAAGTACTTAAATCTCCCACCGTTCCCCAATGAAGAGCAAACGATGGAAACCAAATTGGCAACAGCCACTTGAAAACAATGCTTGCATTCTTTTTGGAACTCAACTTGAAGCCAAAGAAGCTTCACACATTCCTATAATTACAATGTTCAGAAGATCTATGGCAAGCAATGACATGTACATATCAGATGAAGAACCACTTCACTTCTGAACAGCGAGCAAAGGTGGCAAACAGGCTCAAGCAAAAATAAATGATCAGAGACCTCTCACACTTTGATGGGCTCGTATTTTTCACCCATTAGACCGCCTTTTTGCTTTTGGAACTGGATATATCGCATTGTGCTTGCAAGAAATGCATCGGCCAGAGGATCGTGGGTCGAGCTATCACTTTGCATCTCCGTTGCGATCAACTCAATCAGCCCCTGGATTATATTGCTGGTGATATGGGGGTTTCCCTTTTCGAAGAAATAGAGGTACCTGTACTCATGCCACAAACTACAATGACTAACGGGATCCGCAGCAATTATCTAAAGCTCTGTTTCTAAATCTGAGTGTGTGTGTGTGTGAGAGAGAGAGAGAGAGAGTGACCCCATGCGTTCTTCATGCATGTAGAGAGAGATGCAGAGAACAGAAAGAGAGACCCCATGCATTCCATGCATTTAGTGTAAGGCAGAGAACAGAAAGAGAGACCTCACGCATTCTTCATGCATAACATGCTTACTTGTTCAGTATCTCAACAAACAGTGTGACAGGCCCACCACTCCCTCGCATTACATTGGCCATTTGTTGAGCAGCATTTGCAATCCGCAGTGCACGCTTCAGGCAGAGCAAAACCCTAGATAATAGATAGTAGGATGCTTGAGAAGCAGGAAAGTAATGGTAAAAGAATAAAAACTTTCCAAACCGATTCATCTTTTCTCCTAATGTCATTCAAAATTTCAAATGCATGTATGGGCACACAAATACAACAGTTTTGGAGTGTGCATGCACATCACAACAAACCTTTCCCCATCTTTGATGCCATCCTGCTCATCAACCCAAAATAGATGTGAACATGCATAAACAGCCCTGCACTGGTCTGGCTTCTTCAATAGCTTTGCTGAATACTTCACATGGAAATGTAAAATGATAAGGAAGAATGGTTATATGGATATGAAAAAAGAAAATTTGCAGTATAGAAGTTGTCCAGTACCCCAGTAGCCTTATGTGTCAATGTGTCCCTGTTCTCCACACCGAAAACAGTCATCCTCTGAAGTGTGCCAATAATTAGGTGAATTGCAGTCACCTGTGCCTTTGAATCCTGACCAAATTATAATGTTCTGCGTGAGAATACATCACACTTTAATTTGCGAGAGAAAGGACCACTAAAAACTTCCCAAGGCACAAAACACTTGTAGTATAAATGAATATTAAGGCAGCCTATAGCAACGAGTTCCATAGGTGGCAAAGGGTAAAACCCAAAGTTTTGTACATTAAAGAACAAATTAGGCCATGTGGTCAATTACCGCAACTTCTTCCTCATAAAGAATAAAAGCTTGAGTGAAAAATTCATAAGCCACTGGTTCAAGATCACAATCATTGGCAGCCTGAAAATTCAAGAAGTTAGGAATCCAAAGTGAAGTCAAAATTGTGATAAAAGTGCATTATTTAGTCTAAAACGATGTATACCTCAGCACATTGCAGGAACAACCTCAATGCCAGTTCTGGGGAAGAAACTGAAGATAATGTCTCTATAGTCTGAAAACAGAAGAAATATATTATTGCTGCAATACATTAACTACTCATTTTTATAATAACACAGAATGGGTGGGGAGCCAAAACCCTGAGCTAACTTAGCCCCTGAGAGGGGGGGAATAAAAACTATTTTGTTCCAAAAGTATATGAAAGATGTAGGTCATGAGACTAGATAAATGGGACATTCTTCTTCCACAGCACAAAGACAACAATAATAATTGATATTGCTTGAGACAAAATGAACATGTCAGTATGAACACTTAAACTACTCTGTAATGCATTCCATGTGTCAATACGTACAAGAAGTATCAGTTCAAAGCAAACAGATTGTGAAACATCATGGCTTTATAATGGTCAAACATTTTGCACGACTCTGACTTCACAAGCACAACACAAAGTTGTACCTGATGCAAAAGCTGGAAAATTTTCTTAGATGTCACAGGCCCTTCTTCTCCAACTCCATCTCCTTCCTGGCCTTGCAATCCTCGAACCAGCTGCACGGTATACAAGGATTATTATGTCTTTCCAGTTTCTTTTGTAACATACAGCAGCATTTAATTCAAGGCATAGAAGAACTTATACAATTTGCATGACAGCCAAGCCATGGGCTTTATGGGGATTTAGTTTGCATCAAACAAATCTACTCAAGTTCACCAAGTCATGCTGATTTGCCATGAAAAATTTCTAAAAAGCAACTTTACAATTCATCTTGTCAATCGGATGACACAAAGGTGGAACGCAACAAAACAACTCACCTTTTGAAAAGCAGTTTGTATGAAATCAACTATTGTTCACTAAATACAATAAAGTAAAGCATCAACTAGTCCAAAGGAAGAAAGGTGGTACAATGGTTACCATAACAAACAGAAAATCAAAACCTGTGTGCTATGAATTGTACGATCCTACTGTATGAAAAAACAGCTTAGGACCTATTGGAGCTCCAATTTGGCAAAAAGGTGACATTTGCATTAGGACTGGCTTTGCTCATCTTTCACAACCAGAAGACAACCGTAACGAGAGCCACAAAAGAACTTTGTTCAGTTTACCGATACTCTCAATATGCATCATGCCATCAGAAATGCACCATGTAATACATTTATAGGATGTAATAGGATGTACAAAATACATCACGTCTTCATTTGATTTACACTATTAGGGCTTTGACGCTGAACTCCTCTAAGCATATTTTTGAAATTTGCTAGCAAATAGAGGCACCAGTTGTTGCCGTAAGGTTGACATGAACATTTTTATATAGACTAGCATACTAAAACACTGTAGGAGCGAAAAGGTGAAGGATCATACCTTTAGGGCTGAAAATATGAGAGGGGGGATAGTAAAAGGAAGACGTTTTGGACCCCCTTGAAGAATATGTCGTCTCACAGTGGTTATGATCTGAAAACAATTATAGTATATGATTATTTTATGAGACTAGCAGGAAAATCGCAAGGACCTCAAGGACCATAAAGTTGCAAAAAGAAAAGTGCTATAAAAAGAACATGACATGAAAGTCTATGGGAAATGTGAGAATTTATTACAACAGAAATCTCCAAAAGCAAATGTGTTTACTACACATGAAAAAGCAGGCGAAAACAACTATTTAGGAAGCATCTGGTCATCTAACACGGAATGAACTTCAGATATACTGTGACTGAAGCATAAATCCAGAAAAATCCTTTGTAGAATTCTAAAGCATTATACAGGTTATGGACACCAATATCAAATGTCAAATATTTGTGTATAAGTATAAATGCATATATCATAGGTTGGATCATTATATAGGTGATAGCATAAATACTGAGCACATTAGTGCTGCAATGGAACTCAATGAACATCGAATTAAACATGACAAATTGTATTGTTTTAGTGAATAGTTTTGCATAAAAGAGAACCACACCTTACTGGAATAGAAGTAATGATATTCCTTCCAACATATGGAAGATGTCATGCCAATTGAGTATTTGAGAATCATGACTAGACTTACAAAATCTAGGTATACACTATAGCACTTAAGAAGCCTAAAATTAGTTTCAAACCTAGATGGTGGGGTACCAAACTGATGTGAGGTTCCCCAATACTAAAACAATAATCTAAGAACTAAATAACTAGAGATGCATGTCTAGTAGTGGATAATACGCATAAAGAAAAATATCTATATCTATGGCATTCTCTTTCAACAAGATTGCATGAAAGTAGGATATGATGATGATATAAATTGAACCATTGACTTGTTGATTGCCAGCATGTTGAGCAGGATGGTAACATTTAACAGTCATGGATATGCGTGAAGCTTGGTTGTTTTTGCCGCTTGAGAAAGGGAACATATACTTGATGAAGTGGACTATCATATTATACGCATTATTTAAATGTGGTTCCCTGACTCCATCTTTAAGGGGAGGATCTAGATGTACCCATAAGCACATTCGTTTCAAAACACGATACATATGAGCTTATGATGTTTATGGTAACCACGATATGGCATGCTTGACAACTACTTTGCCATCCAATGGTTTTACCATTGGTGAGTGTGTTTGAAATGCATATTGTCAAGCTGATGCTGGTATTATTGAATTTTCATGCCTTGTGCAATGTATGAGTGACATGATATAAATGTGGTTAACGTAGACAATGTTGCCACTTGCATTTAATATGAAGGCCATAGGGATGTTGATGTGATTCATAGAATCATGGCTATGATAAGCCAATGCAAAACATTACACTGAACTATGTGAAATCAATGCAGCCTTTTGCATTGATGAAAAACTTATTGATGTGAGCTCGCAAGAGGTTAACTCCTCTCGCATACAGATGATAGAAATACAAAATTAATGCTGACATTGGTAATAACTTATCTATGTTGAGTATATATGTTGATTGCTTGATAGCCATACAAGTGATACGATCTACAGATATTTTGCGCGTAGGCAAACTTCATCAATTTACCGATAATCTACATCATGAAAACACATATACTTTGGTAAACCAAATCCTATTTGATGAGGTATCATATAGGTACCATGGATTATGGAACCCACAATATGGGTGATCCTTGTATATTAAAAAGTATATTGATGCGAATTGGATTTTGGATTCTGATGAATCCAAGAGTACTGGTGATTATACTTTCATGCAAGTTGAGACAGCAAAAGGATGGGGAACCTAGTCTGGTAGGATATCCATGGTAGTTGGGGGTGAAAAGGCATGAGGATCTAGATTACTAGTGGTTGGGGATCCTAGTCAGGTAGGATATTCGTGCTAGTAGGGGGTGCAAAGGCATGAGGATCCTAGATTACTAGTGGTTGCATTTTGATGTTTGGTAGGGTTACAATAGCATAAAATCTAAGATGCAAATGTATATATCTTGATCCATGATGTATTCAGGGTCAATAGCCTTCAAGGCCACTAGCAAAGAAGATAGCCAAGGAACAAGGTGGTAGACATACCACTAGTTTAAGAGGATATTCGTGCTAGTTGGGAGTGAATAGCCACGAGGATCCTAGATTACTAGTGGCTGTATTTTGACATTGGGTGGGGTTGCAACAGCATAAGATCCAAGAAGCAAATGTTATTTCTTGACCCATGATGGATTTAGCGTCAATAGCCTTGAAAGCCACTAGCAAAGAAGATAGCCAAGGAACAAGGTGGTAGATGTACCACTAGTTTAAGAGGCCTACACGTGAAATTCTGACTTTTGAAACTATATTGCCACTCTCAATAGCGATGCTTGTGATTGATGTGGATGAACCAAGATAATATCACAATTACGGTCTTATTGATAGATTAGAAGTACTAAACAAAGTTTAAGTACACTGCTTGGGCTTCGGACATGGCCCATGCCCTTGCCAAGTAACTTGTGCAAGTCTGAGTGCACACCTGCCGGAGCCCCAAAAGGGGCCAAAACAAAGAAAAATTTAACAAAAATGTGAAAATCCAAAAAATAGAAAAATCATATAAAACCAAAAATATACTAAACCACAAAATATTTATAAGACGTGAATAAGAAAACGGAATTTTATCAAAATACCCATAAGAGATGAACCACTTAACATTTTGCCCATTTGCAACTATTTCAACTCAAGACCATGTGTTTTTTTGCAGGTATTTCAAAATTACAGCAGAAGATATGGGTAAAGTGTTAAATTGTTCATCTCTTAATGGTTTCAATTTGATATCCCAACAAGAAATTTATTATGTTATTGGCATGTAAAAAAATGAAAATAAAAAAAAAAAGAGAAAAGAGAACAAATCATAAAAACTATAAAAAACCATAAATTTATATATAAAGAAAATTATATATCATTTATTTATAATTGAATTTGTAAAAAAACCACTTTTATTTATTCAAATAAAAAATAAAATTTGAGGCCGATTTTATGATCTTCGTGCTATGTGTGAATCGAGGCATTCTAATCCTTACCAAAGTTTCATGGAGCCCCAATCAAAACCCCCAAAATCGGGTTCCCATTTTGGGCCTAGGAGATCCAAGCCTTTGAAAAATTCAAATAATAGTAAATCTGAAATTCGAAACCACTATTTCAAAAAGCGGACCGCTCTGCGCCTGGGCGGCCGTCGAGGCGGATATCCCTGGGTGCCTGCCTGAACCCGCCTAGGCAGCCGCCCAGGGGCGGAAATGTGGCTCCCTGAGGGTAATTTTTGGTCATTTTTTTAATACAAAAGGGGTAAAATTGTGGGTTTTAGGTTCATTTGAAACCTAAAACCCATTAAGGCTATTTTAGAGAGAGAAAACACAAAAAAAAAAATTTCTACTGGGCTGCCCAGGTTCTGGGTGCCCACCTAGGCACTGGGCAGCCTGGACTCCCCCAACCGCCTAGGTGCTGCATAGCGCTTTTTGAAACACTTCGAAACTATAAAATCGTAATCTTTTTTCGTATAATAAATAGCCTAAGTTGGATAAAAAACATAAGGTCAGTCCTAATGTTCGATTATCATCAAAGATTGAGCATCAAATTCAAAGAAATCAAAGTTTTTTAAAACATGGAACAAATTATCCAAATTTTTTATCTACAAAATGTGAGAAATCTAAGGGTTTTCTCTTGAATTTAAGGCATCAAATAGGTCATCTAGTGATATTCTAACTAATACTAAAAATTTGAAAGGAATAATGGGGTTTTGGGGCCCTATGCTCAAGAAAAATGAAAAACAGGGAATGGATTTCCACCCCCGTGATATGTTCGGTTGCAGTATAGTACTGAGGTGAGTACTTTAGCGACTCATCTAAGTACTGCAGAACTCGGGCGAGTCTGCCCTAGTTCTACAATATCCAAGCAATTTTGTATAGTATTTACCCAAGTAATGTATAGGCTCCCGCATCCCCGATCTTGTACACTACTATCTTGCCTCAGAACCCTGTCACTGCCAAGTAACTTGGCCAAGCTCGAGTCAACTCCACCGAGCTATTAAATACTAACATTAACTGATGTCATACTAGACAGTCTAAAGGACATTATGATGCAGTTGTGCAATATGAAGCAATTAAACAATATGAAGCAACTGACGAAGAGTTGAGCGTGTACCATATATTGACAGATCCATCACATAAATCATCTATATATACCAAGTTTGAAGAACATCTCTATGGATTGAGAGGCCTGCCAAAGACCCAGCCACAAAGTGATGGGAACCCCTACTGGGTAGATGAGGAGATCCTAAACGCTAGGTTCAAAGGAAGAACCAGTCACTTGTGTGGCACTCAGGAGCACCACAATCATGTCAGAAGAAATTAAACCTTCCTAACTCACCCTGCATATGTGGTGCATTGACCTGCAACCAATAAACGAGTGTGATCTTTGTCCTTAATAAGTCTGTCTAGGTTAGGGTGTAGTTGCAAGGGTACATAATAACTCATCTACATAGTCTGGAGGTGACGTCAATTCCTCTGAGAAATTGGCCTTCTCTAGAGAGCCAGTGAAACCAGGATATTAAGTGTGGCCCTAAACATGATATGTTTTAGTGGAGACATAACATTTTAAAGATTGTGGCACGTGAGAGGGATAATGATATACAAACAAGTTCAAGGTTCATTCACTCAAGGTCCTAATAAGCATTCTGTAAAATACTACATGAAAATATATGTAGGGCACCTTCATCTATGCACCATGACTACTGATTACCCATGCATTCAAAATAGACAAAACTAAACAATTGTTGCCATTTTTGAAGCTTGCTAAGGTGTCTTAGGACAAAAGAAGGCATATGTCTTTTGTTAACTTTTTTGGGGCATTTATTTGAACCTTCCTCTCAGTGAGCCAATGGATAGCCACTTGTAGATGCGCTAACAGTCACCCACCTCCATGAGAACCAATAAGAGAGAGCCCACGTCCTTAAGGCCGATAAATGTACTCTATACATCACTGCCTTTTGGAGGTACTATATAAACCTCAAAACTTAGAGAGAGAGAGAGAGAAGGGTTTTCTTCATTTATCTCTTTTTACTGGAGTTTCAATCTACTAGTTCATCTGTCATCTTTGAAGGTCAAACAGTCATTAAAGCTTTCTTTGGTCCAAATCTGATTTGTTGTTTTTGTAGAAGGAAAATCAGTTAGTTGTTCACAAATCTTGCCATATTTGTGCCGTACAAGGCAAAGAGAGCTTTACAATGCTTCACCAGGCTAGGCCATATATTGGGGGTATTCTCACCATAATTTGATTGATCTTGACAAATAGACACACCACGTCACAGGGGCATCAGTTTTCACCCAGATGTCAGTTCAGGATGACCCAAGCTTAAATTGAAGAACTTTTTGAGGTCTGCGGACCTGGGTTTTCAGGCATTTGGACACTTTGTGCTTAAAATTATGGTTGAAATCCTACTGGAAATGGGTGACTTATTTTATTTTCTCAAGTGTGGTAGATTTCTCAAGGTTTCGAAAAATAGTATGTATACATATATTTGTGTCAATTTAGAATTTATTAAATTTGAAATTATTGTAACATATATTTTTATGTACAAAAATATGACATATCGCATGTTGAGAATAAATTTGTTTAAAATTTTAAAATTCAAACCATACAAAATTTAAAAGTTTAATAGGATATGTATTAGTAATAGTTTCCAACTCATATTTCATAATAAGTGAAAAGGTTTAAGAAGGTTCTTCAAACCACAAAAAATAGAGATTGAGGGTTTTTCTTTTAACTTTGGGGGTTGAAAATAACCCCTATAACATATTTAAACCTCAAAATTACCCCATTTTCCTTTTGGGTATTTAAAAAAAATAAAAAATAAAAAAGCCATGTCCTTGGGCACCCACCTGGGTGCCCGCCCAAGTACATCCGCCCGTGTAGGGCTACCTCGGTCTGGAAGTGGGATGTTTTACTCTAGGCCACCTAGGAGGGCGCCTAGGCGCCGGGCGGATCATTTCTTAAAACATTGAGGTTTCGTTTTTTTCAATATTGAGATCTTTAATTGGGTTTCAAATGTTAGTTCCTTAACTTATTAGGTTTCTCAAAAGTAAGGTTTTTATCCTGATTGGTTCGAATACTGGAGTAGCATAGTTTCCAAGAATCTTTAAAAGCTTGATTCCTTTCTTTCAACCGCCAAGTATAGAACAAATAACCTTGGACCTCCCTATAACTACCCATGTAGGCCTATAGCCAATATATATATTTCAAGTTGACTAACAATGTTTGGGTTTTAGTAGTAATGAAAAGCCACTATGGAGGAGAGATTCCTCAACTCTTTTTGTAGAAAAAGTGATTCTACAACTCTACCCTAGGTTTGGGAGAGTCTCCCCCATTTTCTTCTTTTGGTTGAGATATTTTCCAAAACCCTAGCTTTTGAATTGGAAGTTCTCCTTATGTAAGCTCGGGCCCCATTTTTATACCCTTCTTGTGCGATACATCCCCTCTAAGATTCCACAAGACCAAATTCGTCACCTATTCAAACCCTTCCACAAGAACCTGGTCATAACTCTCAACCACCTAAGTAAATTAGCTCAATAGTTGCCCTGACTAATATCTACCTCCCTTAGCCTTCAATCCCAAGTTTACAACCTAGATTTTCTTTTGCAACCATTACCTTATCTTGTCGGACTATTAATTTACAGCAAGGGACTCCTACCCTTAAATCAATCTTAATTATTGACCTAATCACACAAACCTTCTCCATCACATTATCCTCAATCCTAATCCATTAAGATTTTATACACCTTAATCCTATTGGAATTACGAGATCTCCATACCCCGAAACCTTGTTGTCTTAAGCCTTGGAGGAAACATCAAGGTACTAGGGATTCCCATTTCCCCATAACCCTAACCCTACTAGGACTCATAACTCACTAGTAAACCCAAAAGTTTAGAATTCCTAAATTCCAACCTAAACGTCAACCCACTTGGATAGAATTTGATGTCTTGAGGACCATCTTTCGTCAAAAGGGGTTCGACAACTGCTACTTGATGCTTCATCAAATCATATCAGAGTGAGGCCTCATATGCCTTTCATCCAAGAATTATACACATTGGACACCATTCGACACATCTCCCAATTCACGAGTCGCCGGGATATACCTTGACCATTAGTCTAGCCCCCCATGATACATGGGGATTGATCTGGAATCCATGGGAAAATTCTATTTGAGGTGTGATAACCCTCCTCCCAGAGTTTTAGCACAGTTGGAGATGATTTGACCCCTCAACGATAGCCAAGGCCCATACCCATCTCTGGTCACTAAAATCAAGATATCTCGCAATATATAAGAAGTTTTATCATGGGACCTGGACCACTAGAATCCTGACTCAATGGCCTATCCACCATGGGAGGCCGGCACTCTATGGACCTCTAATGTGGAAGCAGTTGGACTTACAACAATAGTCATAAAATTGTCCAAAAGTTTGGCCGCAGGTCTGTGATATTTCCTAAGTTATTAAGGAGTCTCAGAACCAAATTTTGTGAAGGCATGAGCCCCTCTACAAGATTATCCAATCCCAAGGTCTATAATCCCCTAAGGTGAAAAAGGTTAAACACCTAGCGGTCTGATTTTCTGTCGAAATCTGCAGCAGAAATGGATCGACTCTAACGAGGCATATCTCCCTCGCAATTTATCGATTTGAGTGAGAATGATTTCTTTTTGAGTCCTCAATCAGCATGCAAAATCCCAAATCCCAGGTCAAAAACATTCACCATCAGAAAGAGGCATCCGTTGGAGGCAAATATGTTCAAACTGTGGTTTGACTTGACCACAGGTGACTGCGGATAACCGCTTGGATCAGTGCAAATTGAGGTTGTTTGATGTTCAAATTCAAATATTGAGGTGGTTTAGCAACAAAATGGATTGAAACCTATCACTAAAGCCACTTGAGCACATTTAAATTTAAATTAAAAAGTAAAGTTTATACCATGCTACTAATCCATGAGTAGTTTTAACTATTCGATTTGGATAAATCCCAAAGATATTCAAACTTATCATCTACAAACCTCTATATACTCCATTACTGAAATGGTGTGGGGAATGATCATAGACAGATGGTTAGGGACTTATAACAAAGTGGCATAAAGAGCATAACGTCCTATCTTATTTTGAGATTCTTACACGTCATAAGTAAGGAAGAGACACACGATATTGTCCCAGCCTTTGCTGCAGCATGTTAAAATCATCTGTAGAGAGAACACTTGACATTTTCAGACTCAATTGACAAGAGTAGAACGTAGTAACATCCCCAATATAGTCAGGTCTACAGGGCTTCATATATCCCCTTGGTGTTGATATTTTTCCATTCTCTTTGTGTATTTCTTTCTAAGGTCAGTAATATGCTGCAAGTCTCGAATCAAGGGTGTTCAAATCTGTATACTGTTTTGATGCAAAATGCAAACAGAAACCGAGTATTTGGACCTCATCACGAACCCAATTCATATATAAAAAACCCTTTTTTCCATTATATGGAAATGAAAGCGAATTTGTCCTCTTGATGTGTTAGTTCTCTTATTATTTCAGAAATCTAGGGTCATAATTATAATTTGCACTAGCACATCTGGAGTGAGACACAGATTGTGCATTATCACTTTGTTACTAAGCAACTTAACATTACTTACTCCAATTGAATTATCCTAGTTGCTAGGATCGCCCAACTTAGGTAGGGATCTTGCTATGGATCTAGATCCTTACTATTAGGGATCGCATACCCACTATTAGTCCTATACTATACATGCTCAAGGATAGGAACAAGATCCCCAAATGTTTGGGATTGAGATCCCAAAACATCGGGATGGAGATCCCGGAAGGTTGGGATCGAGAACCTAATACAATCTACAAAGAACGGTCCCAACCATAAGGATCTTCTGGCCTTTCACGGTTCCCCTGCTCCTGATCCCTATCATGCTCCAGATTCACTCCCGATCCCAACAACTATGGCCCATAAAGGGGGTATTGGCATTATTCTCATTATGGACGACAATAAATTATCACAAAAACATTTTCTGGATAAAAATCGACAACATATACCTATAGTGTTATTCCAGATCTTATTGAATTGCGTAAACATCAAAGTAGAAGGCCACGACACTCAAACTATGACTAAGGAACAATAGACTTTAAATGTTCAGCAAGTATGTTACACAAAATTATCCAAATGAAGAAGGATGAACTTGTCAGTGCAAGGTTGTCACATTGTTTATAAGAAACAGACTCAATTAAGACCAGAATTATTATAGTTTTTATTGCTTCTTCAAAATTATTAGAGGCCCCAACAATGGAATCCAGTAAGCTGAGGATAAATAAATGAATCCAGCGAGGGAAAACTATAATACTACTTAGGAGTTTTGTAGCGATACAAAGGCTCAACAAAACACCCCACTGATGGACATTCAAATGGCACCAGCACATCTATAAGCATGTTGTTTTATCTTGCTCAACCAGAAATCTTGCCTGACCTGACCTTTCTAGTGAAGCTCATGCACAGAATAATATGCAAGCAGAACGGCGACAGGGTATCATAGGGCTATTGCCCATAGTAAGTGGAGTAAGATAGCACTAATTCATAGATGTCAACTTTTAAGAGTAAAGTGGAGTAAGATAACACTAATTTAAGAGTAAAGACATAACAACAACATGTCAACTTTTACAAGGATAAGCGAATTTTATAATTTAGAATTTCATTTGGCATCACTAGGAAAACTTTTGGGGTAGGCATAAGGGACATGCATTAGCCTAGACATGCACACTCATAGTAAGCATACCCACATTCGTACCTTCATCATCTCCTCATGATCTTCATTTACTAGCATGTGAATGAGGCGAGCAACAGAATTCTGCTCCTCCTTGAAGTCTTCTTCATCAAGCTATGTAAAAAACAATAAAACAAAAAAGGCCAAACATTTTAAATTTTCATAGCAAATATAATATTGAGAAAGCGCAAACATTCCATCTTATGATAAAAAAGGATGATAATGGAACTTTTCTAATCAGAAAGCATAGGATGAAAAATATTATGAGCTAGATTTTCAAGTTAAAACTTCATTGATCTAGTAGTTATTCATCCAGGACAAAAAAAAAAAAAAAATTATTCTAAGCTCCACCTCTTCAATAGGAGTTCCATCCATATCCTTAATAAGCCCCTTTATTAATTCAAATAGTGCCTCCACCTGAAATGAAAGAGAACTTCATCAATGCCCAGGACACAATCCAAGAGGTAGAATAACAGGGGAAGGAAATATACTCTGTTTGCAGTCGTTATGTAGGTATTATTCTTCATAATGCTTTGAATAATAACCACTGCCATGACTTTATTGGTCACATGGTCAAGATGATCCATGACACGAGGATAATTTGTCAGTTTCAGTGCCGTCACAATATCATTGTACTTCTCCAGGGGAGCACTCAGAAGTGCAACAACTTGTTTTGTTGCTTTGCTATCTTCAGCCTTTGCTTTTCCTGAAAGTTTCTTCACGCAAGCACCCTGTAGACATTATCTGTCAGGGAACATTTCTGATCTAAAAGTAGACTGCATCAATAGACAAACAGCACGTACCAGCACTTGGTCCACATAATCTAGTCGATCAGGATGAACTCGTAGAGTGAAGGTAAGAAGTGAAACATATAGACTTATAGCTCCAACAACAGGCATCTCTGGCTGTGCTTCTATAACCTGGCAACATGAATGTAAAACATGCATTCAATAAGAACATTGTCAAAGGGTATGATATTACCTCATTTGTTCATGATAATAAAAACCCAAGAAGTTGGCACTACAATAAGAAAATAGCACATTGACCCGCTTTGCAATGTAACTTTGAAAAGCACCGAGTAATCTTGAATTAAAAAGACGCAAAACGGTGCATGGGATTTTAACTAATATATCATGTGATAATTGAGGGATTGTATACAGGAAAGAAAGCATGCAACTAAGGTCATTCAGCAGTGTAAATCTAGCAGGTCAAACAATTTTCTGATAGAGTCCCTTGTATAAGTGAAAGTGATGCACACAATGCAACTCAGATGTGCTCAAATGGTGTAATTCTTGCTAGTGTACAGCATTTGTCAGGAACTGGGCCCAAGAAAAGACATACTCTATCTTCTCGCTGAAGTGTTGAACATACAAAGAGGTCTTGAAAAAAAAACTAATGGGAAGTGCAACCTCATTCTCTTAGGAAATCATATGCCTTACGTCCTTATTCTATAATTTTAATGAAGCAGTTTCATTTGTTAGTCATCAAGCACTATATATGAAACACCCATATGAAGGAAAACTGCACCCATATGCATGACAGAATCGAAATTTGAGAGCATGACTACCTCAGAACAGATCTTTGTACATCCGTCAGCTCTCAAAACTATGCAAGCCAAATACCACAACTAGCATATGGTTTCACAAGCGAGTTGCTGATCCACAACCTAATGTGCAAACTTGTTCACCTATATTCATCATATTCAACCAACTCATAGTCCAAGAGAAAATGATCCACAAAGAGCTTAAATTTGGCCTTTATACAGAATCCCAGGCACATGAGATAGAATTCCATTTGGGGAGCTTATAAATGAACACCAAAGCCGCATGCCAATTTAGTGGTAAAGGAAATGGTACCAGAGCAGCAAAAGCAACACCATCAACCACGAAAGCTGTATCTACTTAGCTACATTGGCCAACATCATATAGAGCACTTACCAATTATAAGGGTAGTTCTGCATTAAAAGCAAAATACACAAAAACAAAAAAAATAATTTAAATATGGGGAATCAGATAAGGAGAGCTCTATAGTCATCTTAGTACATCAATATTTCGGTTGGATTAAAAGAGGAAGACCATTAGCTACAAAGTTCCTAAGGATGTTCTAATTTATCTTTGTAGGTGTTTTATGTTTAACACAATCTACTAGTATGGAGGAAGATTTTCAACGGGTGACGTTATGGAATGTAAGCTATAAGCAACCTGCAAATTTTTCCCTTGCAGATGTATAATGTCAATTACAATGTCAGAGGGCAAAGTGATCTTTAAGGATAGAAGATATTTATAGATGTGCGCTTGAGCATAACATGTCCTTCCATGAAAATGCAGATGAAAGCAAATCTGACTATTTTGGGGAGGGATGGAACTACCAGGCCACGATCTCTGGGTAGAGACTAGAATTCAGCAACATTTCCAAATTTGATCATGTATAGCATTATGTTTTGTGGAAGTAACAAAGCGATGGTGTAGTCGGCTGCTATGAAGTGCCACTCCATCTCCAGGATGTTACTAGTGTGGGCTAGTTGTAAACTTTTACATTTTACAGTCACTGGTACTAGTACAATGGAATAACAGTTATAATGTCGAGGATGCATTTAATTTTTTTGAGTGGGGAAAGAAAAGTCATTACTCCATGCAGCAATTCATCTCTTTGTACATGAATCAAAACTTAGAGATGGACATAAGAAAGCAGAAATCAAGGCGCTGAAGTTGCAGATAAGTTGACATATGTTGGGCAACTCTTCCGAAGGATAGATTTTTTATCCTTAAAGAGCATTGTAGTGTATAAGTTCAGTCTTTTCACCTCTTGTGGATATCTCTAGTCTGGCTCCTCAAGTAATTATCAGGAGATGATGCAACAGGGCAGAGATCATTTCCAACATTCAATAAATAGTGAGGGAGAGTTTCATAGATTAAGAAACCTTTTGAAATCAATAATATGAGAATTAACCTTTCAGGCCCGCGGGTATTTATGATGCTAGGATAGCATAGAATTTGGTCCTTATTTCAAGTAATTCCTTTTCTTAGGCGATTAAGTAGGCAAAGGGTGAAAATCAATTCGCATGGAGGATGGCAGACCATTTTGAAGAGAGCATGCTTTTAGCGAGCACAAAAGATATATCTTTCCCACATACAATAATGAAGCAGAACTAGAAAAAGATCGTGATGTTAACGAGTTTAGCAGGAGCTCCCTTTCCAGCCAGATATTATTTCAGCTGTCTATCTTTATGATCTCACTTTTCTCCCCCACCATGTATACACCTCGTTTTGTACTTCTATCAAAACTTCATGCGTCACATCTTCACAACATCAATAAGACAGTTAATTATCGATAGAAAGAACCAATAATATGAGATTTAATGCTGCAACAGCCGAATGAAATGCAGTATAGTAATTGGCATAATTCTTTGATGCAAGATGGCCACCTACAAATGCACATAATAATATTTTAATGACTGAATTGAAAGATTAGCTCCCCAAGCAATTCTCTTTTTTCTATCAATTTCGTCAAGGTATACTCATGAATCATGATCATAAAACTACAAAAGAATACAAAATCCACTGAGGAATAAATGGAGCAGGAGTGAGTCCAGTTAGTTACCCCAGAAAAATTGAGTAGAATGCATCCAAACAATTATCTCTTGCAAAAAATTAAAAGCAAGAAAACACAATGCTCTGAAAATCAATTGAACATATATCAAAAGACAAATATTACTCACATGGTCACACTACGAAACTAAAGTCAAATCTAAAGGAAATTCTGGACCCTCACAATTTGAGTTTACCTTCCCAATGGCACCACTTAATTTAGAGAATGCCTCCACTTGCAAGAACTCTGGTAAAACCTGAAAGGAAATTGCAATAAGAAAAATAAAGGCAATTAATGCCAAATAAGGCAATGGAAAGGGAATGTCTCACTTCTGAACTCGAAGAAGCATAATTTGATAATCTCTCCATCAGTTGAGATAAGACTGTTTTGATATCCACAGACGACTGCAGATCAAACAAGTAAAAAACAATAAATACATGTCAAATGAATCCATTAAGAAGGGAACCAAAAATCCCATCAAGTGATGACAATTCAGCGACTTCCAGGAAGCCCCTGCTCATATTTAGTAAAAAGGAGTCAAATGTCCTGTTTTTCTTAATTTCCTGAACTACGGTTCAATTCAAAGAGTTAGTCCAAGAGGATAGCTCAAAGTTTCATAGGACAAAACTATTATGTAATCTTTGGAACTAATGTGTGCTTATTATGAAGTGAAAAATGTAGGCAACATCTACAAAATCCAAAACTCAGAGTGGTCTACTGGATTCTTTGAGGGAAGAGATGAAGAGAACATCATGCATGTCCTAAGTAATATTTCATTTACCCAGAAGACTATATGGTTGTCAACAATGACTGTAATCCCTTGAATTATATATGATATCATCAGCAGATAGAAAAAGTCACGAACATGTTTCATTGAGAAGGTTAGCACAACAATCATGGAACCAATATCGCCAAAATTGACACCAAAAAGATTTACAGTCTTTCAATAAAATATACAGGCTAAATGTATTGCCCACCTGAAGCTGTGGACAAGCACCCAACAAAGTCTCTAGAGTTTGCAAATGATATTCATCAGGAAAGACTTGTATTATGCAATCCATCAGGTAGTATTGTGCAAGCTCATCCTTGCAATTGACAACCTGCACAGCCAAATATAAAATTATCCTCATCACATGAAACACACAACACCAAAGATGCAGAGGCCAGTAAGCACATTGCAGGAAAAGATCTTACTACCTGTTCTAAAACTCTTGGCAGCACAGTTTCTTTGTACATCTCAAGATCTACACCTTCTACTTGACTGAGAACATGAAGGTTCTTTCCCACCTGAACAACAAGTGCCAAGAGTTACCCTCAAGGAACATGAAAGAATTCAATAATATCCAAGTCACACTGAAACAGCTTGACGTATTCCAAGTTCCAATCTCACAAGGTCACGAAGTTCACTTCTTTCTTTCTCCCGCTTCTCTTTCTCTCGAGCAGGTCCCTGCAGACCAAAAACATCACTTTTCAAATCCACAATTGGCATCACATCAACAGTATAAAAAACCTGATAAAACAGCATTGTAAAAAACCAGAACAGATGTTCGACTAGGACACCAGGAAAACTGAGTCAGACGTGATTCTGTGTCCAATTGCCGACTGGGGGCAACCCGGATCAAATTGATCAAAAAGAAGGAAAAATAAAAAATAGGAAAGAAGCAGAAGAAGAACTGGGACTTGACTTAGTCCAAACATAGGTTCATTTAGGTCTTTGAAAAAGATGCATTACTATAGTATGCATAAAAACAGAGATAAAATTTGAGTGATCCTATCGAAATTAGAATTTGAGTCCAATTTAGGACATATTTACATTTAAAATGTATTGAAACCCATCCTAAAATTTGTCGGTAAATTTTGAATTAGAATCCCCTCCGATTATGGTAAAATTTTGGGGAATCTTTTGCACATATTTTTCCAATTTTTTGGGCACATAATCAGAACAACATCAAATCACCAGCTAACATCAAAACTTAATAGGGTTTCCATGCCTCACCAAATGCAAAACCAGAGCACCTCACACAACATCATCCATGACCAAGCCCTAGAATCCAGGGCTTTAAAAATCAAAATGGACCAGCCGTTTTGACAGGTTGGCCAGCAAACCAGTGTCCAAATCAGTCAATACCAGTCCCCTGGACCGACCAGCCTAGTAAAACGGCACCAGACCAGTGGAAAAACTCATATCAATTGTTTTTTTCTTTCTTTGTTTTTCTGCGTTTGGGGGGAGGGGGTGAGGGTTTGGAAATTCCTGACCAGCCGCCTTTTCTCCAAAAAATATACACTTTTTTGGGTTTTTTTGTCCTTTTGATAAAGTAAGGGGGCTTTTTGTTCATTTATAAGATTTGGGAGAGCTTTGAGGGTTAAAAGAGATGCTTTTTAGAGAGAAACAGAATAACTTTGGCAGCTCTCTCTCTCTCTCTCGATATATATATATATATATATATATATAACCTACCCCCGAAACTTTATAAGGGTATTTTGATCAATTTTTTCATATAAAATATTTTTTTGATATTTTTCATCAATTCACCTATTTTTTACGAACGCACGCCTAAAATTTCAAGTGAATTGGATTTGTCGAAAACAAATTAAAATTAAAACACTACTAGGCATCTGTGATCGTCAGATCGGCCCAGATTCAATCTAAGCCGTGAGGCTCATTTTAACTTGTGAACCCACTGGCTCACAGAATCATTTTCCATACATATATATATAACACACACACACACACACACAACACACACACACACACAACACACACACACACACACACACACACACACACACACACACACAAACATATATATAAATATATATATACACACACATATATATATAGGTACATATAAATCAAACTCCAAGTAAGTCTTTTACCCCCCCCCCCTTTCCATTTATTGCTTGTTTATATTTGGAGAAAATAGAAAAAAGATTGGCCTTTTAGAGTTTGGGTAAAAATTTATTTTTTAACCCTTCTTTTTCCAAAACAACGTGTTGGATCTTATCTTCCAATCATTTTAATAGTTGTTTTTTATTGACTTAGTGTCTTCTTCTTAATTTGTGTAAAAACTTTAGGTTTTTCTTATTGTTTAGAGTTTCATTGTTTTTTATTTTATTGTTTATTGTAATTATACAAGACATCAATGGAAATAAACCATAGTGTTTTCAAAAATTGACATCTATGGATAAGGTGAATTGGGTGCTTAAATATCCTCCGGCTTTTTTATTTTTAATGTATATTTTCTTTTTTGTGAAACAATAACTTTTTTATATGTGTTGTTTTTTATTTGGTGTTAAAATGAAATCATAGAAAATTTTGAACTATTGAAACATTTTAAAAATAGGATTTGTTCTTTTTTCTCTTATTTTCAGTTTTATTATCAGTCATAATATTGCTAAATTTATTCCTAGTATTTTCCTTAAATTTTTTGAGTTTCCTATATTTTATGGATTTTTTACTTAAATTTTTTGAGTTTCCTATATTTTATGGATTTTTTATACTTTATATATTTGTTCATTTTTTATTTTTCTTAATATTTTTTAAAATTATTTGACAAGAATTAACAAGGGGAAACCAGTCTGGTCTGACCGGATAGTTGCCCTTACTAGTTCGGTCACCAGTCCAATCCTAAAAACAATGCTAGAAACCGCACCAAAGCTCCATGGATCTCAGGGTTTTTTCCCACACAATTATTTTCTAGGAGTTCCAAAGAAGCTCCGCTTCCCAAAATGGCAGTCCTTTGGGGTAGAAGCTGCATGCTACAAACAATGGGAATCGAAATTTTCTAAACTAAAATGAGAGGGAAATGAATTAAAAGGCAGAAAAAGGGCTTTCCAATTAAGAAAGTGTCATTATTCGTTCAAACAATGGACCACAGGAAAATCAGCAATTTTTTAAAATTCGCCATTTTTATCAAAAAATCACTCAGTTTGTTATAGTGAACTGAGCGATTTTGGGCAAACCGGAATGATTACTCAGTTTGGAGCCATTCGAAACCATCCCCATGGTACCAAGTCAGATCGAGCAATACAGATCTAACTTGCTATTTTTTATCACCAAATCATAAGCCCTATTAGATCCTGCAATATGGCCGAATTATAGGATAATGATAACTTGACTGACGTTCAAGAAAACAGAAAATGGCACCCAGGCCCAGGCCAGCCTAGGCAACCCCCTAGTGACCCGAGTGGGCACTGCAAAGAAGAAGGGGGAGAGTGGGGTGTACGAATTTATGATTTTGCATCATGTATGCATTATAAATTTAGCCACATATATATTATAAATTCATTATTTTGCATTATAAATTACAGATGTAGCCATACATAAACTAGTATTTTCAAACATAGCCATAAATATAGCCAAACATAGGTATAAATGTATTATAATCACACAAAATTAGCAAAATAAGGGAAATGGAAAAAAAGTGACTCATGAAGTTTCATCATAAATGTAAAGACAAACTTCAAAAATAGACACATGAAAATGAAAAACTCGCATATCATAACCAATACTTGCAATAAATACAAAACCCTAAACATAGACAATTGAATTTACTAAAATTTCAAAACACAAATAGAAGTAGGCTTGAATCAGTCACTTTCAGTTGCCAAAGCTCTATTTTGCTACCTCTTTAATCCTAAAAACGTTTCCAGTAGAATGCCTATCGATTCTGCAAGAACAAATTTGGTTGCCATCCTTAAAAGGATTTCATTTTTGAACCCCAAACAACACTGCCCCCCCACCCCAAATAGAATCCCCCCTTTTCAGGGGGAAAGGACATTTTGGTCCTCCATATATTTAAGTGGCATATGATGTAAGCCCCAATACTTAAACAAAAATATATTAATGCAGATTTCTACAAACCTGGTGCTGCATGCGGACCCAGAGTTTATTCATCTCAGTGAAATTTTGGAGCACAAACTCCACAGCATCCATGACAGTGCCAACATCCCTACAAAGAGATTACAAGGGTCAAACTGAGCAACATGATTTATGGTTTATTTTTCCCAGTTTAGATTCATAAAATTTTTGTAGTGGGAAAATTTTGGAAGTCCACAGAAATCTTTGAAATGGAAGGCGATCTTTGACATTATATATTGAAAGAGAATTTTCTTTTTTTCTTTTTTTTCTGTTTTCCTTTTTTTCCCATCTACACCCCCTAAATGGTTTCATGCCTCAATCTATGTCCACATTCAAATGTTTTCCTTTTTTTACTGCTGGTAGTTCACAAACCATTTTCATGTTAACAAGCAATGAACAATCAAGAACACAAGGAAAATATCACTTAAAATGGTCAAACTGCTCAAGAAAATGCCCAAGGTGGTCAAATCAATGAATTTGGCAATGAAGCGGTTTTATAAGGTTTGTTTTGCTAAAGAACCTCCTCAAAAATTATTATTTAGAAAAGCCCAAATTGCCTACGTTCTGGATGCATAACCCCGAAAGCAAGGCCATTTTGGTAATTTAGCCTCACTGAAATGGCTCAAGCTAAAGGATGTAAATATCCCAACTTTTTCAGGGTTAAGAACCCAAAAAAAGGATTTCCAATAAACAATAAAGCAAGTTTTGGGTTCCTAACTCCGAATAAGTGGGGGTGGGACCATCATTTTACACAGGCCACTTAATTCAAATGACAATTTTATCCCTCCTTGTTAACTAGGAACCTCCTTCGTTTATTGCAAATCCTTGTTCCGCGTTCCTAAAACCGAACAAAGAGGAACAGTTTGGTAATTTGGCCCACTTAATGACCTAACTCAAATGACATAAATACCCAAACTCACGATTAGGAGCCTGGAGCAAGGATCTCCAATTGAATAGAAAAAGTGAGTCCCAAATTCCTAACATAGAATATGGAGGTGTAATATTGTCATTTTGCTTGGATTAGATGGCATGAGCACAATGACAGTTCAACCCCCGCTTATTTAGGGTGAGGAACCCAAGACTCTTTCATTGGAAATCCCTATCTCGGGTCCTAATCCTAAATAGGATGGGTATTTACACCATTTGGCTCAAGCTACTTAAGTGAGCCAGATTACCAAAATGCCCCCACTTGTTTATGGTTAGGGACCTGAAACAGAGGCAATTTGGGCATTTTTAATTTTAAATAAAACTTTTGGGATAATTTAGTGAAAGGAATGGTATAAAGTACATCTAATGCTAAATAGGTTAATTTGACCACCTTAATATTTTTAAAGGTGGTTTGAACATTTTAGTGATATTTTCTCCAGAAGTTAATATGAAACTTTCAACGTAGGAAGGAGAATGAGATCATTCTTTTAAATCAATAGTTCAGTCATACGTGAAACGGGGAATTTCATGAAATGGTTCATGAAGTTCTTACAAAGATTTTACACAATTTTTGAAGGACAGTAGCTAGGATCCCCAAAATCTTAGAACATGGATTCATACCTCATGTAACAATAGAACTTTTTCATGCTATAGTCATATTAATACTATAATAAATGCCAGCAATTCTAAGCAATGTATGAAGGTCATGTTGTAGCATCTCAATGGAGAACTAGTGGGAAACAATCAATAGACAAAAAGTAGCTATCCTGAGTTATCCATCAAGTAGGATCCTATTATAACTCTCTTTAACCATCAACCTTATGGGGTTGGAAATTAGCATAAAAGTTTAGAAAGCAAATCCTAATCTCATAGCTAGTTAAAAACTGGGGATTCTTCACACCTTTGTATAAATTGCTAGAGTGTAGGATGGAATAATTTGAAGGCTCTAATTGTTGGTTATAGTGACGGCAATGGGATACTCAAGGCATCCCTCTAGATAAATGGCAACCAAACATACCAATTTTGGTAATATGGGGCTGTTTTAAAGCTACATGAAATAGAAGCACTAAAAAAAATAAAAAAGTTAAAAGAAGACTCATACTATGGGACTACGAATATCATTGTATTTAATCAATGGACTGCAAACCAGACATAAAACTAGAGCAGTCTGTTAAAACCGATCCATAACCGGTCAAATTGGTTAAACTGGCTAGTTCAGTTAAATGAACCACTTGAATCAGCTCATGGAACCAGTTGAACCGGTTTTTTTTTTTTTAATGCATCATTTTATTCCGAACCAATGAACTAGTTGGTCTAAACATTTCGTAAACGACTAGCATGCTCACCCGTTCTATGCATTGATAACATTGGGTTTAACTGGGTAGAATTGGACCGCCTGGCATACTAAAAATTTGTATGCGTTTGTCATTTGGCATAGTGGTGGCAAGCGGAATTGCCATTAGCCAATATTAGTATCAACACGAGATGTCGATGTAGGGTCCCATAATAAAAGAAGAAATGGAACAATAGATCAGGGAAAGAAGCACCACATAAAAAGCAGATAATGGATCAAGGAAAACACCACACAAGAACCAGAGTTGAACAAGCTAAGATTACAATCTCAAGAGGAGACGCAACCTCTTCAAAAACATTTGATAGCCTGTGCACTGATCTAAGATTGACATAGCAAATGCTTTTCATATACAACCAGTGAAGGGACATATTGAGTCATCTCAAAATTTTAGGACTACACAAGGACCCAAAGAAACAAAATTCCCAATTGGCTTGAGAAGTTTGAGATACTCCATATGATGTAGGGACAATATTGTAATTGGTTCATTCTATTGCATAATTCTTGGGATCGAAAGCAAATCGAAAGCGGGATATAGATCGGGAGCCGGGGAAAGGAACGGGAGGGGGAGATTCGTGAAAGGCTAGAAAATTCCTATGATTGGGAGCATTGTCTGTATAATGCATATGTTAGGGATCCAGATCACTAAAATTTAGGGATCAAGATCCCTAAATTTTAGTGATCTCAATCCCAACCTTATGGGGATCTCAATCTCGACCTCTTGGGATCTAGATACCAAACTTTTGGGGATACTACTACTAATCTTTTGTTTTTTGTTTTTTTTTTGAAATGTTGACAATTGTAATACCATAAAAGAGGAGTTACAATGCTGAGATAGAACAAGAGCACCCTGGAGAACGGGGCTCTCAACCAAAAGGAATGGGCCCTCAAGCCCTATACGAAATGGGGATATAAGTTCGCCCCTTTACAAAATATATAAAGATGGGGTTATAAATAAGTCCCCTTACAAGGTCTGCTATAAAATTGCAGAGAGAGCAAACGTTATGCTAAACTGCGTGTGGCCCACACGATGCAAGAGAGGTGTTGCGAGCCTAGTCTTCCTCATGGCCTTTGGCTTCGTTCTTCGCCAAGAGGTCCACGAAGGCGTTTGAGGCATCCATGAGATGGTTGTATCCCTGCATATAAGTTCAATCTCGTCATACAAAGGCATAAGATACCATGGAGGGGAAGCTTGCCTGGAGGCTCAGGTGATGATGTTTTGGGCGTCTCCCTCCACTATCAGATGTTGTCCCTAAGATCTATCGAAACTTTGCCAGCCTTTGAGGAGCACGAGAGATTCAGCATGCTGTGAATCTTGCACACCTAATAGAGTGATAGAGCTAAGGCAGGGCGAGAAAAGGAAAGGAAAGCGAGCAGCAACAGAAGAGATAAGTGAGCTGAACTCCATGCAGGGTATTCGAAAAAGGTAAAAAGGACATTGTGTTGATGATCTCGAAAGACTCCTCCCATCCCTGCATCGCCTGGATTGCCCAAAGAGCATCCATCAAAGTTCAGTTTGATAGATCCTTGGGGGGGAGGTTTCCAGGTGGCGGATATTTTCTTTCTCTTTGGTCTGTGTAAGAGAATATTCTTCCATTGAGGTAGGAAGTAGTTCACTGGGATACCCTTGAAGTGATGATTATTTGACACCTAAAAGGTTACTAAGGCTGTAACCTTTTGATAAAAAGCTGGGACCAGGGTAATTTGTCCCCTAAAGGTCCTGACATTTCTTTCTTTCCAGAGCGTCTAAAGGATCGCAGCCACAGCAGCCTTCCATAATATTTTCTCATCCTTTGGCCATTGTGAGGCGAGGTTCAAGGCAAGTAAGTCATTGATCGTTGGTGGTATCACCCACTTCATACCGAAAAGTTGCAGAAGGTAACTCCAAAGGTCATATGCTACATTACAGAGGAGGAAGAGGTGGAGGTTGGACTCCTCGCAGAGACACATGCAGCACCTATTAGGGATGGGGATCCCTTTTCTTTGCGATTGATCAATTGTTAGTGCCTTATGGGAGGCAGCTATCCAATTGAAAGTTTGCACCTTGGGAGGTGCTACAGTTTGCCATACCTGAGAAAGTACCGAGGTGGGGTTGAGCGGGAGAGTAGGAGGTTGGGTGAGTTTCTTGTAAAAAGAGGCCATTGTGAATTCTCTTGAAGGGACCAGGGACCACACCAACTTAACTGGAATAAAAGTTCATGCAAGAGTGCTGAAAGAGAGATGAAGTTATTTGTTTCCTCCTCAATAGATTCCTCTTAAACGAAGGCATCCATCATCTTCTACCTCCCTGTGGTATCAATTCCTCTTCTATTGGGGAGTCTCTCTTGGTTGCTATTGCATAAAGAGAAGGGTAGCTTTCCCTCAATGGTGTGTGACCTATCCAAAGGTTAGACCAAAAGCGAACTCTTGTGCCTTCTTTGGGGTGAAGCTTGATGAATTTCTTGAACATATCGATAGAGGAGACCAAGGATCTCCACGCTCCAGATGCATTGGACCAAGGTTCTGGAATATTGTATTTATTTTGAAGAACCTTCACCCAAAGACTATCCGTTTGGGTGGCCAAACGCCACCACCATTTTTCGAGCAGGGCGAGGTTTTGCTTTCTCATATTTCCGATACCCAGACCTCCCTTGTTCTTGGGTAAGCATACTTTGTCCCAAGAAATGAGATGAAACTTTGTCTTGTCTGCCTGTCCTGACCAGAGAAAGTTCCTCATGAGCTGATCAAGGCGGTTTGCCACTGAAGCGGGCATTCGGAAAAGAGACATAAGATATACAGGTGCATTGGCAAGGGTTGCCTTGATAAGAATGGTTCTTCTTGCTTGGGAAAGAAATCTCCCTTTCCATCCAGCCAACCTTCTGTCTACCTTGTCGATGACATGGGACCAGAGCCTCTTCTTCAGTTTTCCCAGCCCGAGAGGTAGACCAAGATAGGTTGTTGGGAGGTCATCGACTTACATTCCCAGGATGGAATTAGCTCTCCGATTTGGTTGTAGTCAATTGCTACTCCCATCATTTTGGACTTATCCATATTGACATTGAACCCCATGGCCAATTGGAAGCACTTGAGAAAGAGTCTCAGGTTTCCACTTCAATCGGGGAGGCATCAAGGAAGACTAGTGTATCATCAGCATATTGCAGATGTGACACTATTGGGCCCCGACGTGAAGTTCGAAATACCATAAGCAACCCAGCTTGGTAAAGGCGGGTGAGAGACCAGCTAAAGACCTCCGCCGAAATAGCGAAGAGGAATGGAGAAAGAGGATCCCCTTGGCGAAGGCCCCTCGAAGAAGGGAAGAAGCCCTTGGGTTCAATTGATGAGGATTGAAAAGAAAGGGCGGGAGTAGCTGCCTCTCACCCACATTCTCCACCTATCTCCAAAGCCCATTCGTAGCATAGTTTCGTCCAAAACTAACCAATTAACTTGGTCGTAAGCTTTCTCCCAGTCAATCTTGAAGATTAGATCAGGCGTTTCAGGCAAGTTCCGTGAATGGATACATTCATGGGCAACCAGAGCCCCATCGAGGATTTGATGATTTTTTATAAAAGCCGACTGTGAGGATGAGATGACAGTAGGGAGGACCTGCTGTTGTCTAGAGGCCAGTACCTTGGATAAAATTTTGTAAGTGGAGTTGAACAGACTGATTGGACGGAAGTCCTTAAGTTCCTCGGCCCCTTCAACTTTGGGTACAAGAGCAATGAAGGTGGCATTAATGGATTTACCGAGTGTACCCCGGAGAAAGAATTCTGAGAAGAAGTTTAAGAAATCCTGGCGAAAGGTATCCCAAAAGATTTTAAAGGGGGCTACGTGAAACCCATCCGGACCTGGAGCTTTGCCCTTCGCTAGATTATCGAGAGCTTTAAGGATTTCATCTTCTTGGAAAGGACGTTCCAGCCAAATAGCTTGATCTTCCGTAAGGGTGAAGAACTTTAAATCAGCCATGGCAGGTCTCGATACATTTGGGGTAGAGTAAAGGTTCTGGAAAAAAGCAAGGATGGCTGACTCAATCTCTTTAGGCTGATCTAGGTACTGGTTATTTACTTTAATGTAGGAGGTTGAGTTGTCCCTCCTTCAGACAGTTAGCTATTTTGTGAAAGAAAGGGGTGTTGTGGTCCCCTACTTTTAGCCAATTAACTCTTGATCTTTGGAACCAATAAAGCTCTTCCTTTTTGAGGGTGGAGAGATATTCAAATTTAGATTGGGTTCTGAGATCAGCTTCACTGGTAGTCAAAGGGCAGGATTCTTCTAGGCTGTCAAGGTCTTGTAGGGTCTTTAGGAGGTTGGACTTAATAAGGGAGTAGTTGCCAGGAATAGAACGACTCCAAGATTTGAGGGAGGCCTTAGCAATTGGATTTTAGATTGCAGTCTATAACCAGCTCTTCCGGTCACCTGGCCATCGAAGGAGTTCCACCAGTTTGGGATCAAGGAAGAAAGAGACTTTTCTTCAAGCCAAGCCAATTCAAACCTGGATGGTTTGGGTCCTATATTCAAGGGTACGGTGGAAAGGAGGATGGGACAGTGGTCCGAGACAGGTTCTGGCAGGGTGATGGTGTGTGAGCCCGGGAAAGCTTCATCCCAGTCAATGGCTAAAAGAAACCTGTCTAGTTTAGAAAGAGAGGGTTAGGCCCAATGGCTACTAATCTTAAAGACATATATGTATTATACATACTCTTTAACATAGGGTTCTCTTTGTTTATAGCCAACAAGCAATACAACTATACAAAAAGTATAGTTGTGTTGCTAGATAACCAGAAAATAATCATTTTCAAGTCTTCAAGGTGGAGATCAAGATCCCTAATAGTGGGGATTGAAATCCTTTACAAGTGAGATCAAGATCCCGAAATTCAAAAATTGATCTCCTTGGAGGATCCCTTTTCTAAAATGCAAAAGTGAGATTCTAGAGTGGGATTGCCACAGATCCCATCAACTACATCATATTGTTTCTGCATCACCTCGCACCAAACTTAGAATATTAGTATCAAAGTGGAAACCAAACCCTAAGTAGATGCATGTGTTGTTACAATACTAGGAAGGTTCTTTTCACACAAACCTAAGGATGAGGGCATTTGTATGGACTACCAATGCCACCCGTACGAACACACTAGAACATGAACTTTTTTTTTAGGCCTCAACCCATTGAGCTGAATCTATCAATACCAATACTGAAGGATTTTGGACTTTGTTGATGATTTTTGGGGCAAAATGTGTTTAATCAGCCTGAGTTTTTTAATCTCACATGTGTGGGACCCAATAGGGTGAAACCCTTGCATAGAATAGGTTGCACTAACCATGTGGTATGGTCCTGAAGTTTAATAGACATTAGATAACAAATATGTGAATTCTATCGATTTAAGCAATTAGATTACAACAAACCTAGTAAATTGGAAACCAATTGATGCATGTGTGTGAACGAACTCCTTTGTTGTAGGTTAAGATGCACTGGCTAGGATGAACTATACTCCTAGATGTTCGATATAATCCATCGATAAAGATGTTCTAGGAGCAAGAACTAGATTCACCTCATATCTACATAGAAAGGGCTTTCGCACAGGCAACTCGAGCAAGTTTAGATTGGCTGGGCTTGGGCACATCCAATCTCAAAAATCAATAAAACTCATACACCCATCATCCAAATGGATTTCAAACATTAGAAGCAGATCAAATGGCCAAGGAAAACCAATCTATGCAAGGGTTTCACCCTATTGGCTCCCACACACATGAGATAGTCTATGTTTGGGGGCATTGTGATGCAGGAACAATAGAGAATATGACATTAATTGAGAAAACTGGATACTAAGAGTCCATGTTGTAGCACATTACGTTATACGTACATACATACATATATATAGAGAGAGGAAGATACTAAAAACGCCTATAGGCGAAAATGAACAGTGATTTCGCCTACTCTCATCATCATCCAAACATCATCACACGGTCACAGTCCGGTAGTGTTTTAATTTTCTTTTTGTTTGTAATAATCGGAATTATCTGAAGTTTGGAGCGTGTGTATATCGTAGAGAGGCGCACCGAATAAAAATATGAAAAACATAATTCGTAAAATATAAAGTTACCAAAATACCCCCATAAATTTGCGGGGGTATTTTGGTCAATTTATATTTTATGAATTATTTTTTCATAGTTTTATTAGGTGCGCCTCACTAAGATGTACACATGTTCCAAATTTCAAGTAATTTGGATTTGTAGAAAAAAAATGAAAATTGAAACACTATCGGACAACTGTGATCGTGCGATGAAGTTCGGATAGTGATGAGGGTAGGCGAAATCGCTGTTCATTTTCGCCTATAGGTATTGGGAAGAGTTTTTCATATATATATATATATATATATATATTGAAAATCATCATTTGTAGGTGCATCTTCCAAACTGCTTTGGTAAAATACTGTCCTGACCCTCAATTTTCACGAAGTAGGGATCATCTTGGAAGCCACCTTCAATCTTAATATGATAATTTGATAGAATGATTACATTGGATCATTAATGGCTCAGTTTGTCCCAGATGTTCCATAGAAGTCTGAAATACTCAAAATGGGTTTTGTCACCTTGTTGAAAGCAGTCAGAATACCTTGGCACAATAATCATTTCAAAAGCACTCTTCCAAAACATCCCATATAGATTTTGCTTCTATTCATTGTTAGCATCCCATGTAATTTTTTGTTGTAAGGAACAAAAAGCCTGTCCTGAGACTTGACTCCATCAATGACAACAAATGTGTGCCAATTGATATGCGTAGAATCAATGGCACAAGGTGGTGGGTTGGAGTCATCGACATGCACGAACATGTACCATCTAAGTTTCCAAGAAGAGAAATACCTAGATAATCACTCCTATCCCAGTTTACAGTAAGTTAAATGAATGCTTAGGTTGTCAAGGTGCACATTACAAGGATCCTTGTGCTCGGTTCAAGATGAAAAAGATGTTTTAGATCCTTCCATGGCCTCAGAAAGTCCCAAATAATACTGATCACAGGAGTGGGAGAAAAGACCCACTAAGAGATCAAATACCTAAAAAATCATGAACATATCTTGAAAAATATGTCACTAAGAGAGACAAAATAGCAAACCAGAATGTCCGAGAAATCTACTGTCCATGATCAAATCCCTAGAAAATCTGAGAGATCTATTCTTCCGGCATCACCATGCACCAAACCCTAGAATATATGAGAAATCTATAGTTCCAACATCACAATACACAAAAGCATAGAATACATGATAAAGCTCTAAGGCATAAAATTTGGCGAGTCGAGCGATTGAAAATATGATATCTAATGAATGCCACATCTAGAACCACGAGAAAGAACTTCAGTTGCCACTGCTCACATTCTAAATGTAATCTCTCTAGGCTACGGCAAATTTTCTGACCACAGCACAAACCCAAACTAGATTAAATAATATGCTATCATAAAAGAAAATCGAACTGAAAAACTTATTGTAATATTTTTTTTTTGGTGGAAACATAGTGGTTACATAAATGACCAATGATGACATCGTACCCAACCTTCAAATAAAAGAACTAGTTTCAACAGATGTTTGCATTTGCCCAGATTTAAGCAAAGCTAAGTAAATAGGAACTTAGTGAGACAGAGCAAGACAGAAAGATGAAGTAGCATATGACTGAGCTTTCACAGGAACAAGCTGTATTTTCAGAACTCAAAATGTTGAAATAATGTGATATTATCAAGTGAATTTCTCACCCTTCATACTCAGAGCCAATGTCAGGTAATTTGTCCCTGCTGATTTGAGAAAGATAACTCCGAAGAAAAAGACCGCGCACAGGATGCTGGACACCACGGCACATTTCCACGAGATCCTTTAGCACATCCTTAGCAGGAGCTTCCTTGGATTTAATGTACACGGATCCCACTGTGCAAAGGAGATACCTGACAAAACACGGATAGGGACATCATTAATGAAATACCACAGAGTGTGAAACAATGGAATATCAAATTAGTTCTCCTTGACAACAGAAGAAGGAAACACAGAATATCAGATCATATTTTCCATCCATTTTTTGAAGCTGTCATATCTTACATCAATGAAATTTGTAACAGAAAATGACAAACTATCATTACAAATTATAGAATTATCAAAACTACCTTCTCTGTGTATGATGTCCAATATTCCATCACTGTAAAACAGCATTGTCTACTGATCACCACAAGATAAGTATGTGAGTCTAAATCGCCATTCAACACAACAGCACACTTCTGGTCTGTGCTTCTGAAAAGAGAGCAGCAGGATGATATATAGATCATTTTTGTGCTATTTTTTGGACGTTTTCTCAATAGATAGACATGCTGCTCCTCCAGCGGCCAATATAAAATGAAGACCACATAAAACAGGAATTTCTGATGAATGAAATGATCAACTTATATGTTCTTGCAGTTGATGACATTATTGGCTGACAAGTATGTGAAAATCTTGGTCTTCAGAATAAGGCACTGCCATAGTGGAGAATGAAAGAGCAAGCTACCTAATTGAAGAGATAGTGGCAGTTGCGGCCATCAATTTACTGAATTCTGCCCCATCATATGAAGTGGGCCTACTTCTGCTTGAAATTGGACCACAATACTCTAAATCATCTTGGAGTTCTTGGACCACAATACTCTAAATCATCTTGCAGTTCTCAAACTTCATCCCATCCCAAAGCAGCTAGATGGAAATTAGGCACAAGCACCTTGTTATGTCAAGATCAAACATTGCCTTTTTAATATCCTCGACAGAGAATTGCCTCTACAGCCATTAACAAATCCCCAAAGAGAAATCTGGTAAAGTAGACAAAAAAAAAAAAATTTGGTTGATTAGTAATATCCCCACTATCCATATTTGAAAAACCCTTCTAGCCCCGCAGAGGTTCTTAGCAAATTTATGATCATTTCTTTCGTATCATTGTCCTTACCATCCTCCAATGATACTCGGATACTACAAGTTTTTGTCTCCTATCATGTAAAAATGCGGACACATGTACAAAACAAGTTTCGACATGGATGCACAGTATGTCATCACCATGAATATGAAGTATGCGATTACTAGATAGGGAGAGTCTGTGTTGGACACTGCATGTCAAGTGCCTTTTTTTATTGGGGGGGGGTTCAATTCAAAGTCCTTTTCTTTTTCAAGTCTAAGTATTTTTAAAATTTTCTTAGCAATAAGTGGGGCATCAGTAAAAGAATCTAATAAAAGACATTTTGATGGGGAAACAGTTGCATGCCTCACCCAAAGGTGTAGATTGAGCACAACACTAGTTCTAGGGCAGTCGTTAAAAACAATTTTGGGACATCTCGAACACCAATATCCACTACAACTAGGCAAAGAATCACATGGAGTTGGATAGCCTGCATTTTGGCACAATGACCCCTTCCTCATCAACCTCAACTTTGAGGACTGCTCAATTGGGAACTTGGGTCTCACTAGGGTGGAAGGGAACTCTAGGACCACTTGGGATATGGTCCACATGAACATTAACACTAGCCTACGAAAAGAGCCCGGGCTTAATTGGTTAGCGCTTGGTGATTTGCAACGCTGCATCCTATGCTCAATTCCCCACTGATTCACCCAAAATCAATAAATAAATAAAATAACACTAGCCAAAATATAGGTAACATTGCCTACAACTCTTCCAGTAGCGTATGCATCATGGAGTTTTTCCTTCTCCTAGAGTTGTCCACTTTACAACCTCACTTCTATACCTGAAGCATTCGATATTTCTGTGCCCAGCATATAATTCATGTATGAGTTTGACACTCCTACCTTGCTTCCTTTTTGTGCGGAAATTTCTCTGCTTCTCTAAAACCCATATTTCCAAAAGGGCTACTTCAATACGTTCCTCATTTTGATTTAACAAGATAGAATTTCCAAAAAAAAACACACATCCGTCACTCCTACAACCAGAACTCAAACCACGAACCAGAATATTTGAGTTGAGCATAAGTTGAGCATGAGCACACCATTTAAAAGAACAGTCAAATGATTAACCTTCCCCCAGATGGGTTTGATACATACATAGCTAGTTTTCTGCTGGGCACATGGATTCAGGTAGTCACTATAAGAGAACCATTCCCTGATGATATAAAAACCACAACTTACAAATAACAACTACATGCTCTGCCTAAATGGCTATGGTCCTCTTAATTGATTTGATTGTTGTTGTGTGATTGAAAAGTACACAATTTGATCACAAAAAGAAATACATGCCAAAAAAAGAAGTATCCCTTTCTTCGATAAATTCAACAGTAACCTTAGAGAGAGAAAAAAAACCATGAATGTGATTGTGACTCATCTCTACAAGAAGTCAGTATTGATAGCACAAAAGCAATACAGGCTAAATAACGAATGAATTCCATAGGGTTGATGGAAAATTACCAGGTAACAGAGAATATATAGCATGTCAGGGATTCATTACTCTCAAAAGTTCAATAAATGTAAATGAAAATTGAGCAAAAAACCAAATAATTCAGTTCAATTTGAACAGGGAAACTCACAATCTGGGTAAGATGTTTCCAGCGTGCTGTACAAGCTCATACAAATCAACAATCGAGCATCCACGCTTGGTCTCTTCCTTGAAAAACATCTCCAATCTCCTCAATTCGTCAAATGATCTCATATCTTTGCGCAAATCAAGGATCTCAACTCACGCAATGAAAAGGGGAAAATGAAATATAGCTGCTACAGTTGGCCCTAAAAGGACTAATTTCTGCATTTGTGAATATTGCAATGAAGGATACAGAGCTCATAGTACTTGTGCGGAGAAAGCCTCGATGTTCTTAACTCTGAAAGCATTTGTGCTGAGTACTTGAGGGCGTCTCTCAAGTTATTTGAATCCTGGGGTTTTTGTTGCAGAGGAATTGAAAGCACATTGATCAGGAGAGGAGATCCAGGAAGAATCAGCAACGGAAGAAGCTGTTATGCTAAGTCTTAAGAAGGGAACAAGAAAACTGGAAGAATTTGGAGAGAGAGACAGAGAGAGGGGAAGGAGGGATACCAGAGCTCGATGCATGCAAAATGCGTTTTGTTGAAAGCCGGCAATTCCTTCTGCGAGCCATTTCTCCTCGTCCTCGACCCCGTCTGAAAGCATCTCTCTCTCTCGATCGAGCGCGCGCGTTGTGTCTGTGTTCTCAGCTTCGAGCCCAACCCCTCGCTCCTCTCTCTCTCTATATCTCCCTCTGCTTAACTCTCTCCCTCTCTATGCAGGAGAGGACCCTTTGGGTTAAGCCCCTTCACGTCAACGGCTCGGGACTTGGATCGGTAGTTGGACTCTCCCCAACCTCCTCTCTCTCCCTCTCTCTCTCTCTCACCCTCACTTTTCAAGCGCTGCTATGTAGATTTAAGAAGGGGTGGCAATCGGGCCCGAGTGACCCGCCAGGCTCCTACCCATATTTGAACCAGGTTCAGCTCCATATTTTGGACATGGCAGGTCGAGTCTGCCTCCATATCCATATTTTGGACTTGGCTAGTCGGTCTAGGTCCAAATGACTTGGACAAGATCGATGTTGGGTCTGAAACGGACCTTGCTGGGGCGTGGTCAACCTGGCTTGGTATAAAATATAAAACAAATAAATTTATTTTTATTTTAAAAGTTTTAGACCCAAGCCAGTGTGGTCTGGGGAAACCCAGCCGGTCGGGTCCACTACCCATTGCCGCCCTTAAGACTACTTTATGGAGGTGGCAGGGACGTGATCCTGTCATTGCCAATTGTACTTTTCTACTGCAGGAGAGCTTGTTTGATCGATTTCCCACTTTGGAGAACTTTTTTATACGAGTTTTTGAGAATCATTTTAGAATATCTGAAGGAGTAATTTCAATTAACAAAAAAAAACAATAGAACAATGATTTCCAGACCATCTCGATCCTTTAAAAATTGGAAACCCATATATTTCTTATTTAGGTGTTGGACGTGTATTCAACTAAATTTTTCCATCAAACGTATGGTGGCTTGGTTAATTACATCTCAAAATTTTGGACTCCAAAAATATTCTAGTAAGGTTTTTTACATTTTCCATTGATTAATAGAAAATTATTTATATTCTATGATCAAATAAAGAAGGAATGCATATGAATGAGGGAGGGACACATGGCAGGTTTGGGAGATAATTTCCAATAACTTGAGATGCCATATGTTAGGCGTGCGAGATAAGGGTTTAAAAAAGAAAAAGAAAAAATAACAAAACAGATGAGAGAAAGCCTCTCTCTCTCTCTTTATTTTCATCCAAGAAGTCAATCTGGCTTTGCCTCTCTCATTTATTTCTCCTTATACCTCTTTCTTTCATATTACAAGAAAAAACAAAAAAGCCATCTTCGTGCCTCTTTTTCTCTCTAAATTTCCTTGTTTTTATTCTTGTTGAGCAAGTCACAGGCTCGGCCTCTGTGTGCCTCTATATTCTCTCTATTTGTAATCTCCTCTCTCTCTATTTGTAATCTCCTATACCACTTTTTCTCTAATTTTTTCTCTTTTTGACTCGTGTCCCTCTTCTTTTCTCTTAGGGCATGTTTGTTTTTCTAAAAGATTTCTTTTTAAAAGAAATCTTTCTAATTTTCTAAAAGTTCTATGTTTGGCACACGCTTTCATCTAAAAGTACATAAACTCAAAAAGTAATATTCGAACTTTCTTTGTTAAAACATGAAAGATTAAGTTCTTCAAGTAGGAACTTAATCTTTCAAAACGTTTGTGTGGATCACTATCCACTATGCATAATATAAATACATAATATAAGTATTAGTAATATGATATAATATAATATAATATAACTATACCTCAATATTATTTTATATTGCATCATATATTTCTATTTATTTTTATATGTAATATATAATATTAATATATATTTATATTACGTTTATATATAATATTATATATATTACATTATATTTATATTTATGTTATTAATGTAACATAAAATATTAAAATATATTTATAATATATAGTCAATATATATTATATATTATATGTAATATATAGCCAATATATATTATATATTATATATATAATATATAATATATTTCTTATATGACATATAATATTTATATCAGTATTTATATAATATATAAATTTATCTTATTATATTATAAATAAATATTTATTATTATATGTTATATATAATAAAATTATACATTGATATAATATATCTATATAATATAAATTTATGAAATTATATATAATATTTATTTATTATATGATATATAATATTTATATCAGTATTTATTATATTATATCTAATATTTATCTTTTTATGTTATATAATAAATATATTATTATTAATGTATAGTATTTATATTATTATATTGTAAATAATATATTTATTATATTAAGTACATATTTATATTATTATTTATTATGTTATATATATTATTTATAGCATTATATTATTCATAAGATATTTATATATGATATATATTTATTATATTATAAAATATATAAATACCTTATATTATACTTTAATAAATATTATATTATATGTTATATATAATACAAATATACATAAATATACTATATAAAATACATTATATATAATATAATATACAAATATACATTAATAAAATATATAAAATAAGTTATATATTATATTATATTATGTTATATATAGTATATATTTCAAACACAATATCCATAATTTTCTTAACATTCCAGCTCTTATCAAACTCAATACCAATAACTTATTAACCTTCAAGAACCAAACATTCAACTTTCTAGAAGATATAAAAACATTCAACTTTTCAGAAGATATCTTTCAGAAAAACAAATGTGCCCTTAGTATTCTAGTCCAGAAGTTCCATATTTTGGCTCCCTTGTTTCTATAACCCTCACTATTGTTACCTCTCATGCTTTCTCTCGTCTTTGAGGTGAGCAATGAAAGTAAAATTTTGGAGCGAGGATGGGCTCCCAGCTCAGATCTGAGATGGAGGATGTCTTGAGACTGGTGATTGCAAAGTTTATAATTTGATTAAAAAACCCTCTTTCTCTAGAGAGAGAGAGAGTATTTTCTAAAATCATAGCCGCTTTGTAATTTTTATCGTGTTTTTTTTTCTCCTTAAACTACCTTATATATGAAAGAAGAGGGAACCCAATATTCATTTTTTACAACGGGCCTCTGAGAAGCAACCTCTCAGATATCAAGGATATGTATTATTATCTCATATAACCTTTTAAAAAAGAAACTCTTTAAAAAAAAATGAGTTATTTATGCATACTATATTTAATAAAATATTTTAACAAAGGATAAGCATAAAACAAAATAAACTGTGTGATTCCTCTCATGAAAATTGTTATGCAACATGAGCCGTATGGCCACACAAATCAACAATCTTTCCCTAAAAATCAAAAACATTGTTAGCCAATACCCACATAACAGCTACTATGAGCATGGTAGGATATGAAAGTTTTATTTGGTGAATAAATGGCCTCTTAATTTAAACAACTTTCTTTAGATGAAGAACAATGTTTTATTTTTATGCAACATGAGCCCCATGGCCACACAAATCAACAATCCTTCCCTAAAAATCAAAAACATTGTTAGCCAATACCCACATAACAGCTACTATGAGCATGGTAGGATTTGAAAGTTTTATTTGGTGAATAAATGGCCTCTTAATTTAAACAATTTTCTTTAGATGGAGAACAATGTTTTATTTTTATTGTTCTTCATTAAATATAACAAAATTGTTACAGTTAAAGAAATGTGTTTTGCATAGGTTCCTTCCCCAAGAAACAATAGCTGGAAAAACAAACAACTAATGATTGGTGGTGATTCGCCACCTAAAATAGCCTATTCAACAATTGCACCCTCTTAGATAGAAGATTTCAATGATCCAACACTTCGAGCAGATAACAACCACCTCCTCATGCATTATATTCATTCAAAAAAATCTCAAAAAGATGAGATATGCCAATTAAATTACTTGATACACTGGATATCTTATGCTGAAAAGCATATTTAAGGAATTGAATAATAGATTCAATAAATAAATAAAAATTTAAAAATACTAGCTAAAAGCAAAATTGAAGAAAATAAAAAGAGAAAGAAAGAAAGATCACGAAAGTCATTAGAAATATGACAGCGAAGCCACAAAAAAGGAAAAGGAAGATGAAGTTTCTAAATTGTTTAAATTCAAGTCCTCAAATTTTCTTTATTTTGCTCAAAATAGTGAAGCAATAAAAGAATCCACTATTGAGCAATCCAAAATGATGAAAGTAGTTGTAGTTGAGAACACTATGATTGAAAATATTAGTGTAGACACTCCCATGTTAAATATCGATAATCTCGTATACCCTACTAAAACTAGGAAAATAAAATTTATTGGATTTACAAATGCCTACATTTGTGATACAAAATGTGGACAAATTCTAATGTTGTCAACCAAGAAGTAGGGATGTCACAAGGACGAACTAGATGGAGGTAGGAGTATTTGCCAGAATCAAAACAAAGAGCCATTGCTACCCCTTGGTCTAAAAGAATTTGACTCAAAATTTATTGTTGAATTTATTGCAGAATCCACAACCTAAAAAGCGATCGATGTATGCCCTTACCACCAAAAAGCAAAATAGGAGATATTGAAGATTTTGAAAAGTTTTCAAAAAGTTTTAATAGTAAATACTACAAGATACAAGTTCTACTTGCAATGCAATTTATCTTACCGCTATGATAGGTAATATATCTGACTTAGTCATTGAAACAATAATAGTGAAAATATTGTTGTTGAGTCTCTAGTATTAGCAAATGTAGTCGGGCACACGATCAAAAATCACAAAGCTTTGTTATAAATCTACTTCTAAAAAATCTTGTGCAACATTGGTCCTCAAGTCCGTGATACAATCAAAGGAGCTAAACATTCTAAAATTAAGAAGAATTTACCAAAAAAGAAGTTTCAAGCCCTATAAGTGTTTGAACACATTTTTCAGCACCTTGGTCCCCGATGCGGAATAAAGAGGAAGCCGGTCAATAAAGCCTGACAAGTAGTGGAAATTTTGACGATCCCAGAATGGCCCCAGAACTGGTCAAGATCTTCATAAGTACTTCAAAAGGGTACCTGTCAAGTTTCTTCGCAATCCGACATGTCTAAGGCTGTGAACACAAAGAAACAATTTAGGAAAAATTTGCTTCTAGCACCCTGAAATAGACCCCTATAACTGGAACGCTATTTTTGGTGTATCAAATTATTGTGGAACCACTTCCATTAGCTCTAGCATGGTTGAAAACCCCCAATGGGTCAAATTTCAGCTTAAACAGACACTCCAATAAGAAGTTATGGGTAAAAAATTGAAATAGGAGGAGTCGCACACTATTCCCATGTGGTCAGCCTGCAACTAAACTCCATTAAAC